ACAGAACAAGTAGTTTTCGTTTCAGTTTCTCTGATCAGATACCTTCTGCTTGGAGGCCCTTTGGCAAGGCCGTGCGTTGTCCGGAGTGTGCCTGGGCTATCTTTGCCTCTCAAGGTGTTTCTAGTCAGCCTGGCTAGAGTTCACACTGACTTACAAGATGGATTACCTGGAAGGCTTAAAATCTATTTATAGACTATACACATAGGATCAAAGTTCTGAACACTTAGACAAAGTTGTTTATAATAAACATACCTGAATCATTTGCTGACCATGCAACAATGTTTATTACTTGAAATATTCTTTTAAGGAGAAGGCTGTAGTCTCATTGTGGACAGAGAAATGACAAAGACCAGTGTGAGAAAGAAAAATAGAAGATGGTGCTTCCTGCTAACAGCGTTTCTATCGCTTGCTATGCCTTCCCACTGCTAGACACATGTTGTTTAACTCCCCTTCATTTTCAGTGTGCAGGGGTGATGCTGTAGCTCTGCAGACCCGTGTGAGAGCTTGGAAGTGAGTGTGTCGCGTTACTCGTTACCGAGTATTCACAGTTCTGGCTGCTAACGTGAGTCTTTGGATTTTGCAGAGATTTTTGTTTAAAATGCTTCTGGAATGTGGCTATTACCTCCACAGCGCTGACAGTTTCCTGGCGGTTCTCACTGCGAGAGGTGCTTGGTGCAAACCTGCTGCTCTCTCCTGGCTTTGGTTGACGAAGGAATGAAACCAGGGGCACATTGAATGCCACAGAATTAGGTGCAAAAAGAAGTTAATATATCTATCTTATGAATTATTCTGCCAACTACTGATCTAGAAGAAACCCCTGGACTTCTCTGGCAGTAGTTTCCATCTGAGTGATGGCTCCTCAGAGACTTGAAATAAAACGGCAGCAGTCACTCATTTCACATTTCCCCAGGGTGTGCTCCCACAACAGCAAGGCTCCACTGGTGCCGGTTTAGTGCTAGGGTCACAGGAGTGACTCTGAATGTGCAATAAAGTCTTTGTTTTTTGGTAACAATCTCAGTAACTCTTCTCAGTCCCTTGAGCAATAGTTTCACTGTTGCCTTAAAAGAAGAAAACAGAACAAATGCTCGTGTATAAAATCCTTATGTTGCTCTTCTCAAGCCACCAGCACCGTGTTCACTGTCTAGGTTGGACTTTTTTGCTCCCGTCAGCACAACAGGTTCTTTTTCTTTCATTTGTCATCCATTTTAAACATTCCTAACAGAGCAGAGGCAAAATTAAGATTTGCTGTCTTCTATTAAACAGCTGCTCATCTGCAGTATGTCCCCTGTAGCATCAGCAGCCTTGCAAGATTTAAAGAAATAACAAGCTTTGAGCAGTTGAGCTACTGAGCAGTTGTTCCTTTCTCTTGCGAGAGAAACTTTCCAGTTTTGAGGATGGTGTTTTGTAACCAAGTATGAGCACCAAAAATGTGTAAAAATCACGGTCCATTGCTGAGGAGAAAGTCTAGAAGGAGTTTTAGGAGCCATGAAGCTGAATGAGAGTGTACTCTGCTCTTAGAGTTGCAGGTCCCGCCTCACTGAGGGTTGGCATGAGTGGAGCCAGTGTGAGCCACCGCTTTTCATCCCCTCATCCTTGGGAGATGAAATGGCAAGACTAGTCCCTACACGATCACCTCCTTTCTTGTCTTGCGGTGGTCAGCTGCTTGAGAGAAGAAATCTCTTTCACCCAGCGTGATGGCTGCAGATTTGTTGGGCAGGTAGGACTAACTCTGCTTTTATATCTTCCCCGGGAGGAAACAATTGGCTTGAAAAGGGGGGGTGGGGGTGGGTAGAGTGGTTTTGCATAATATTATTGTATTTCTTAAGAAGTTGACTCCGGCCATTTTTTTAGAAGGTGGATTTTTTAAAATAAGGGGGAAATTACACATTTAGTCTGACTACTGGCATGAACAGATCCCCTCTAACTTCATCCCATGGCTCCCATGTCAAGCCCATAGCACCTGGCTGAGCTGTAAGATCTTGCATTTTTATCTTCGGTTTCCTCCCCCCACCAATTCCAAGAAGCATTCGATAACTTTTCTTTTGTGTCGTGCTTTATGAGGAAACTATTTTGGATGTGCCAGAAAAAGTGAGTAGTAACAGAGCAAGCAGTGGCAGAGGAGCCGTTGCAGGGTGCCGGGAAGGGTGCTTTGGGCAGGTGGGTGATTGTACGCGGCAAGAAACTAATATGAATAATTAAGTGTCTAGGTTTCATCATTTTATATTCAAAGCATCTCATTTGGATGCTATTAAGAAAAACTAGCAAATCTGGGCATGGATCACAGATGGGGCAAACTTAAGAGAGAGACCTGAATTTGAAAGCATTTCAGTTACTGCACCTAGTGTGCTAGCTCTTCTGCTGTCTCGTGGCAAATTGCAAAATCTGCGACAGCTTTTTTATTTTTCAATTTTTATCAATTGATGCTGCTGCCGTGGAAGTCATTAGCACTCAGTCAATGGCATCAGTGCTAGCTCTGGTCCAGGGAGTGTTGCAGAGTTGTAGAATGGTTTGTAGAGTCATAAAGGCTCAAAGGAACTCGGGCATCTTGAATTCTCCTAGCCACAGAACTTAAATTTCCATTGGACATAACATTCACTAAGCTAAGGGGTTTTCAGCCAAGATACAGTTTTTATTAAAGAAACAAAACCCGAAATATCTTAGATTATTACCTGCTTGGAGGGAAAGGGGGAATTCATTACAATTAAACAGTCAAGCTAAACAAAGCATCAAACACCAAATCTCAGAAGGCATCCCAAGTGCACAATTTTAACACAAGTCAGTTCAACTTCCTGGTGTTCAGACTTATGGATGCAGGCTGCAACAGCCACATGAACTGTGGCTTGCTTAATTCTGTGGTTCATAGTCGACTATTGGGTACACCAACGAATGGCATCCCTAGGGTCTTAGGTCTACGAGTCTTGGACTTCTTATTCTCTTTTCTACATATTTATAACAGAAAAAGCCAGAACCATTTGAAAAGGTCTTTCCAACCTGCTGGGAGCCAGGCTTCTTCCTTTAAGAGAAGGGTGTGGGTGACGACTCTTGACTTTGTCCCATTAAGCCACTGACTCATTATATAGCCCAGGATCCAGCGTACACGTCACGTCACTACTGTTGTATTGATGATGCCTCATGTTTTGTCCCTTGCCAATCTGTACCTCGGTTGTACCCATCTGTAAATTGGCCAGACTTTCCTACCTCGTTTGGGCATTATGAGGCTAAATTCTGTAGGATGCTTTGCAGCCCCGTGATGAAAGGTGCTATATAACTGCAAAGTGTTACTTCAAAAGATTTAAATAGGTCACCAGTGCATCATAACCTATATTAAAAAGACTTTTTCTTATATGAGAATTTATAGAGTTCAATGTATGGTATTAATAAGTGAATTATTGAGACCCCAAAAATAGTTTTTGTTTGAATCGTATCTGTATTCTGGAAAAGTGATTAAAAACCTTTAACCTTAATAAAAGAGTACATCCTCATTTCCTGTATCATGTTGGAATCTAAGAATCTCAGAGATTTTAGGGGCGGCGGGGGTGGGGTGGGGGGTGGTTTAGTTGTTTTTCAGCCAGCATTAAAATAGCAGCTTAATAGCTTCAGAGCAAGGCTTAGTCTTTCCCACATGGCCATACAGCAGCTCACACTGAGTTTTGCTCCTCTTTGAAGCCTCTGGGAGCAGCTGTAATTAGATCAATCACCAGCAGAGTTTTTAGACGCCTCCCCCCAACCCAAATGCAGGGGAACCCGTGGCTGCTCGAGCAGTGCCCGACGCTGTCAGCGAGCAGGAGAGTCCTCGGGACCGAACATCGCCTTTGCTCTGTTGCCCTGAAATGCCAGAATCGCCCAAGAGCCACAGTAACACGGAAACACCATCGCTCACCTGAGAGCCTCATTGTACAGCACTCGGTCTGGCTTCCAGTAAGGGCAGGGAAAGTCTCGTGGGTTTCTGAGTGAGGTCCCTAAGGCTCTTCTGCGTTGGGAGCCACCAGACCTTTACTCAGTGCAGTTTTTAATGTCCTGATCATGCAGCTGGTTTACACTTATTTTGAACTGTGCTGGTGCACCCACAGCCAGGTGAGTGCCTGTGAAGGCAGTGTAGCCTTTGGGTTTTAAAGAGGCTGCTGAGGAAACAGCTACAGGCAATCACAAGCAAAAAAAAAATTACCTGAGTGCTGATTAAATGTTCCCAGCAGCCTGAAGAATGAGCATCCAAAATTATGCACACCCTGGTGCAGCCACAATCACCAAGCAGGCATTGTGGATGCATCGTATGAGTGTCTGGGGGTGCAAGGGAGAGTATTTGTTTTAATGGAGGCATTATTATTATTATTACTATTATGCAGCTGACACTTTCATACCATCATTCAAGGCAAGCTGGGCTTGCACAGGGATAGGTGGTATTCACTTCAGGAGACAAGGAAAATTGGAAATACGATTAAGAATGATGGTGTGTGAAGCGCACAACTGGTAGGGAAATACCGTGTCTGCTTGTTGACTAACGCTATCGCTTAACGCATTTATTTTAGGTAATTAGTTATAGAGAGTATAGTAACTGAAACCCAGCTGATTGCCAGGGAGACCCTTGTACACCCATGCTTGGGACACAGTATGGGACACGTGCCACATGTCAGTCCAGTCTGTCATCTGTCACCAGGCACAATGCAAATTAAACACAGTTTATAACAAACCTATCTGCAGCCTTGCCAGCGTCTCAGCTTTTCAGGGGGAGAGAGTGCGGGACTGAAAAAACTGCAAGTTTGGGTCTGTTCCCCGACCACTGTGAATCCAGAGGTACTTGGTGGATACCTGAGCCCCGGGCGCACACCAGCCACCACAACACTCCCGCCTGCAAACCACCTTTATTGGTTTCAATGCACTCATTGCTCAAGTTGATCCACAGTTTAAGAGGGCAGCCGAGTAGCTGGGGGGGGTCTGCAGGGGCTTCCCAGTGCCTGCCACGCCGCCCAGCAGAAACCTCGGGCTCAGGCACCTTCTTGGCTTCACTTGCGGTTGTCACCTGGAGTTGTCGACCCCTTGAACAGCTTGGCACCAACTGCAGCACCGAGCGGCCCCAGGGTGGTCATCAGCCCAATTTTGGAACCGAGAGAGAAACCTGCAGCTCCTGCAAAGACAGAAAAAGGCCTGATGCCCTGGGGAGCACCGGTGCTGCCTGCTAAGGGACCAAGCACCGGGCAGAGGTAGCCAAGGACCTCTCCCGAGCGTGCTGGGGAGCGGGCTCTGCTCCCCGAGCACAGCCAGCCCCTTTCTGCTGTCCCTTTCTGGCTCTGGCCAGCACTGCCGACGAATGCAGGCGTTGTTCTTGCCAGAAGAGCAGAAGCCCACCTGCACGGCCCCCTGATGTCGCCAGCCTTGGTGCCCTACCCCAGCGAGTCCTGACTCTTCCTACCACATCATGGATTTAGGGTGTTTGGGGTGATTCAGACCAATGATGGGTTAAAGGGCTGGTTTGGCCCTATGGCAAGCCCTGACCGTATAACCCTGTGCAACCCTCCGGGGATGAACCCAGCGCAGCTCGGCTGCCCTGCCCTCCCCACTCACCGACGGACTGCAGCACCGACACCGTGCTGCCGGCAGCCACTCCTCCGTTGTTGGCGATGGCAGCCGCTGACATCATCTTGGCAGCCACGGACCCGGCGGCGATGCCATTTCCCGTAAACCCCAGCGCCCAGATGCCCACCGGGATGCCAGCGAGTGCCACTCCTGCAGGCAGGCCACTGGGGTGTTAGGGTGGTCTCTGTGACCCACATTCCCGCCCCCCCCCCCCCACCAGTATGCCAGATCCGGCCTCCCAGAAAGGACAGATGTGTCACAGTGGGGAGCAAGGGCAGTGGGGTGCAGGGATGGGAACACCCCATCTTCGGGGAGGAGAGGAGAGGGAGAGGAGAGGCATGCAGGGCTGCAGCAGTGGATGCAGACAGATTTGCAGGGCCGCAGCAGTGGATGCAGACAGATTTCCAGCGCTGCCCCCTCCCTCGCAGCAGCACCCGAAGTCTGCCCGGCACTCGCAGCCCCCCCCCAGCCCGGCCAGATCCCCCCACTACCACCCTGGGGATGGGACCGGGCAGCGAACCCGAGCGCTGCCCGTCCAACGCCAGACCCTCACCTACTCCCACAGCGGCTCCCACGGCAACTGCTTTGAGCGTGTCCATCGCTAAGAAAGAAAAAAGGCAGGCAGGACGGCGGGCAGGCAAGAAACCTTCCCTCCGGAGGGGCCGGCAGCAGCTCCCCCAGCCCGCA